ATTTTTGTGATTTTTTCGATTTTTACCATAATAATCATGATTCATTCGATTTGTAACCAGTCATGTATTATAAAAAATTTAATTACAAACATTTTTTTCCTTTTCTATTTTCGCCTAAAATCAACTCTTAAAAAGATACATAATTAAATAGGAAGAAAAATATGACATTTTTCCAATTTTTTTAACATATTGTGCCGTCAAAAGTTAACCCCACGTTTTTTTTATGCGCATAGAAAAATTTTCATTTCTAGTGATATTTGAAAGCCAAAAAGCTAAAAATCTCCGTGGATATACGATTCACCCAAGCCAAAACAGATACCGCCTGGTCTATATTAGCAGAATATAAGATGAATAGTCTAGTCACTCGAAGACTCTATATTCCTGTGAATAAACTATATAAAATGGTGAATTATTTGATTGATTCTCCTGAAGTCCTGAACAAATTTGAATTTAATGTGCCTCGTGTGAATTTAAGACATTGTGACATATGTATATAGACCTAAAATGCACGTTTTATCATCTTCCTTGTTCCAAATGTGTAAAATACCTGTATATCTCAAATGACAAGTTTTATACTGCCACTTCAATAAAAAAAAATATTATATTGTGATCCTAGCAGTCTATTTACGATGTATGTAATGACGTCAAATTTCGTAATCAAGTGCAGTCGACAGAATAATCCTAAATTCCTGTTCTGTATCGAATTAACTCTGTCAAAATAGGAACTTTATGTCAAAAATTACAATACATACAAATGAATGAATGAAAATGAATTTATTGATTCAAAAATTATTTAAATGGACAATATAATCTGTGGTTCTAGGTTACATTTCTAATAAACTGGATTGGATATCAAAAATTAATTTCCTTACATATCCTGTAAAAATTTGCAACCTGGCGACACTGTTATCATTTTACACTGTGACGTCATTGCAAACTTATCGTAAATGGACTATCCTTACTCTTGTGTATCTATTTGCTGCTGTTAAGTTGAATATGATTGTTTTAATAATTTATATTTTTGGTTTTTTCTTTGTATTTTTTGTTTATACAGTTTTTGTTATATTCTAACTTTGTGCTACCCTGTAAATGATTTTTGCTGATATTAAAATAAATAAAATAAAATGAAATAAGTAAATACGCCTACCAATGGTTCATGGTCTAACGAATGTGACGGCTAAACTAGTTATAGTTAATAACATAACATAAAACATAACATAAAACACCACAGAAATAAGACAACCCCCAAATCCAAAAGCCAAAGGCTTGTGCGGAAGGGGGCTACACTTGAAAAAACGCAGACAAACACCCATTATCCATCGACATTGCCAGTGCCGACACCGGGGATCGAACCCAGACCAGAGTAGGAAACCTAGCCGAGGAATGCTTGCCACCGCACTCTCGACCGACTGCGCTACCGTGGCGATTAATTAATTAATTAATATTATAGTAAGTTGTGGGATCTGCAAAATAGAAACCTGTCCTTACGGTATGAAAGGCTACGACTCGCAGACAGCGCTTAACAAACTGACTTCTGACCGAATATACTCGTTGAAACTTGCGTCGTGGGAAAGCTGGGAAAGCCCTTAATAGTGATAATATTTGTCTGAGGCAAAGCTTTATACAGTGTACGCTGGAATATTTGCAAACATTATCTCTTTGTTTACATATTTATCTCGATCAATTTCCAATTTGAAATTGTTTTTATGCTCACTTCGTACAGATAAATTTTGGTACGGTCTTTATTTATTAAAGTAAATAACAGTTTTAAAGATAAGTTTAATAAGCAACTTTCCACATTCCTGTAAGTCACAATGTTTATACGGATATGACCACAGCACCAAAAGCAGAAAAGTAAAATATATAAACACATCCTTACCTGGGGACTGACTCCAAGCATCTTCAGGGATGGTGGAATATTAAGACCTTGAGGTATTAGCACATGACCGAAGTCCACAGTAAACTTTTCGCACCAAATGCCGAAGTGGCCGATGTCGAAAATGGTAAGGTCACCAGGTAGGGTAAGAACGACGGTTTTTCTATCGTATTTCCGCAATGGAACTTCTTTACCATTTTCGTCGGGTACCCTGATGCCCTGGGGTGATGGTTTGGAACCGCTGCCTACCCAGAATTTGGCGTCTGGAAATAAACAAAACTATTTAAAATATGCAGAAACATACAGTCGTATGATATTTGTTGAGACAGAATTTCAGGAAGACCCCTGCATCACTTTCATGGATTTAAACCGAGGTAGAAAGACATTGGCGGCATTGACATTCACCGTAGTAGCTTGCAGTTGCTGCTATGTTTTGCAGTTACCAAGGCGCGTTTTTTCGTATGTCTATCGTCCTGCGTCCTTCAGTGTAATGTTTTATTAAAATTAGGTGAAAAATAAAAGAAAGAAATTTAATTAAATTTTATTTTATTTATTTTTATTTTATTAAAATTAATTAATACAATTTTTCCAAATGAAAACAAAATACAATTAAAAACCGTCTTGTAGTTTCTACAGGAGTATCTTTAGTCACTATAGGAAGAATCTTAAGTGAAATTGTCGAGTTACAAGCGCTAAATAATGATGATGGTGAAGTAAAATTTAGTTCTCCTAAAAATCGCAAGAGATAATTATTATTACTTGGAAAATTAGATCCGAGTTGATGTGGTAGGAGTGTAACAAAAGCCGGGACGCGTAGTAATTTATTTGTTAGTTCTCGGAACGGATGGGCCAAAAAGTTAGATATTTCAGTCAACACAAATTATCGAAAGTTAAGAGTTTCAAGTAGGAGAAATTTAGCAATATTTTTAACAAGTTCAGTTAGAGTCGGGGCCATGTGTTAAGCAGGTATAAAGAGAAACATCGATATTTCACATAACGCGCAAAATGCATTTCAAAGAACGTAAGAATTCCAAGAATAAGTTGTTATGATGTTGTGAGGAAAAGAAAGTAACATAGCTGGTTTGTTGACGGATCAAGCTATTAAGAATATATTAAATGAGATGGCTAATCCGTCCCATACCGCTACACGGAGTCACTAGAGGAAGGTTAGGGTTATTTGGAAGTTTAGGCTCAAAATTACTCAGATAACTATTAATATGGCATAGTTATGCCAAAGCATCCCGCCATTCAGGATTCCCGCCAGTAAGATAAGAACAGAAACGTCTGGACCCAAGAAAGGGGCGTGTCAAAGCGAAGTGTCGAATTCAGGAGAGATCTAGGAGAAAGAGCCAATTCTTCCTTATGTTCCACATTGAGCAGTCGACTTAGTTTTAGAGTCTCGGGCTAGTTAATTAAATTTAATAATGGATAAAATTTTTCCAAATTTTGCGATGGAGCGCGCATTCCCTGAACATCGGTACGCTGTCGCGTGTAAATAAATAAATTAATAATGTTGTTGGAACCGTTGTGTTGGTATTTTGTTGTTTATTGTTATTAAAACCCTTCCTGGAAGTTTTGGTGTTTCTTTTTGTTTCTCTCAACTTCAGTGTCACCCTGTATAGCCAACCACTGGATTACGTTCTACGTAAGCAATAGAGGGTAAGTGCCTGAAATTCATTCTCTGAACATACAACATTTCTAAGTTCCCAAGTATTAATTAAAGTATTATGATAATTATAAACTCCCTTTCAAGAATAAAATAGTAAACTCTTGTGAAATCCAGACTCGTTATGATACCGGTCATAACGACAGATAGATAGACAAAGAAATAACCCCTTGATTATAACAGCTTGTGATAATGAAGGTTCTAGTGATGAAGATGATTTAGAAAATTTATCAGATTACCGCTCGGGACGCCACTGGACTTAACAAATTTAATCAAGTTAGGATTAAATTAGCCTCTTAACACTACAAATAACACTGCCAAATTACAACAAAACTGGGTAAAGATATTTACGAAATAGCAATTTTTGTAATATATATGAACTTTTTGTCTTAAAATCGTTGTAAATTGTTACAGTAGTTCCGATAACAGACCTTTATTGACTTATTCTTTTCTTGGAATTCTATCTCAACAAATATTGTACGGACTCTACAATTAATTATTCCGCCGTTTTTATTTTACACGTAATACCACATATTTTACCGATTTTAGAGTTCAACCCTTTATTTAGTGATACCATCCTTCTAATATTGACTGGCTGGCATTCGGCCACCGTTTTTTTGTAGAATATTATACTTTTTTTTTATATACATATAAGTACAGGCTGATTCAGATTTCGTAGCGTAAACAAGCCTTTGATCCGATTACAAATATCATAATAAAATGCCCTATTCTTTATTATTTTAATTTAAGCAATAAAAATATATATAACGAACGTTCGCTAGTTGAAGATTATTGATGCCCGAGCGTCTTAGTTCATTTCTGGTTGTAATGAGGCACATGGTCTAATTCATGGTCAATGTTTTCACGACGTGCTTATTAGAAGAATTATGCAGATATGCCACGCCTTTCGCGCATTTCGCGGCTCATGAGAATTTGAAACTACTCTACCGGTTTCGTACGTAGTGCTGTAACGAAAGGCCGACGCGACGGCTATGATCATCCGACCGAGTTCCGAACTCTACTAATTATATCGTTTGTCACACAAAAATACTTTTTTTGATTTATTTTTTCTTTTTCTTTCTAGGCAGGCTTCAACATCCTTAATAATATTTATGTTAGTGACTTTTTTTTATTATAAATTGTTTATGACATGTTTCTAAGCCCATCACAAATACTTTTTATTGATTTGTATCCAACCCTATTCATTGCCATCAATATCCCCATAATAAATGTATAAACCGAAAGACAGCGATTGAAATCCAACAAAGTTTCCATTTCTTTGTATTTACTCTGCTCTGGAGTAAGTCCCAGGTGCTTCTACAGAATCACCTTGAATCTTTTATAAATTCAAGATAGGATAGAAATGACAGCGGCTTAGGTGGAATTAGACGCGATGGGTGGCGGAACATCGTTTTCGAAGATGACTAATACGAGACTTAATCATTGCCATCCAGTATTTATCTTATTACTAGTTTCTAAAGTTTTAACACGTTTTGTTGGTCAGGAACGAGGCACGGCCCACCTTCTACCTCGTTTAATTAATAGGCAGCACAACTGAAGGTAAAAGTAATGAAAAATGGCATTAGAATCTCTTGAGAAACAAAAGGAAGAGCGAAACTTTTTCGGGAGTTTACACATTTGTGTTTCGGTGATGGATCGCAGGTAATAAATAATTCAGTTCGAATCTGGAAAGCAAATATTTTTCATTGTGATACATTTCTTAACATATTTCGCTGAGTAGATAGCTGATGGAGCTTACAGGATGAGCGATTGTTTTTGGGGGTTTCTCATATTTCTCGAAAATAAATAAAAAAGTGGTTTATATATTACGGACTCGATTATCTAGAAAAGTTAAATGAGGAAATTAGGTTGATTGAGACGAAAATTGATTGATTCGTTTAAGGCAGACAGGGCGTTTTTCAATTATTGTCGCCGTTTTCTACGATAATAATAAGTTTATTTTGACAATAATACAGGGTGGTCGGTTTTTCCTGACTCACCAGTGGCATCTGCGAAAGTGTAAGATAAGTTAAGATAAGGTGGCTCAAATTAGAAAACAGTCACCCTGTATATTGGGTATATACGAACTATGTGAAAGAGATAAGGAAAAATGGTAAATTTCAACTAGATTCCGACTTTCTGTTCGACCTAATATAATTGCATATATTTTTAAAATGTTTATCATGTTTTGTAAGTTGTCTTTTAAAAAATAAATGTCAAAAATTAATTTTATAAGTTTTCAACTGTTTCTTACCATAATTAAGTTCGCTATATGTGTATTTGACGTATCGATGAATAAAAACTGTACTGAATCGTATCAAGAAACAATTGATTTTCAAAACAAATATATTTGTGTTTATACATCATTTGAGAAGAAATTTTACGCAGATGTCAAAAATTAAAAAATATAATGGGTATTCTATTTAAAAAAATATGAGTTTGTGTTATAGGTAACTGAAAACCTGAACGTTATAGAAAATTATATGAGTACTTCACTGAATTCTGCGCAATTTACGTATAGGTACATCAAAATCGAAAAATGTCCCGTCTTAATCGAATTAATGTATCCATATGCGGTTTCACCATTCGATTTCCCTCAAAAATCGAGCCCGTGAGATCAAAACCACTTTTTTCTATTTTTTCAATAAATACAGGTAGGACAAACAGTCCATAAGTGTCGAACTTGGCCCATTTTTGGTTTGTAGGGTACTGTTGACTTGATAACTTCTTCCTCTTCTTCTTCTTCTTCCTAGTGGTTGGTTCTAATAAGTCCCATAGCACTGCGGCCTAATTAGGTCTATTGTGCGTCCTACTACTAGTCCTATTCAGCAAGCAGTTTTGTCCTTTTGACAAAGTCCAAAAGCTTCCTTGCTGACACTTCTTTCAGTTCCTTAGGTTCCAAATAAGGTCTCCCCAGGAGCGCCATTCTACTACGTACAAATCCCGGACACTCGCCCAGGATATCCAGAGAAGTTTCATCCGCCGAGTCACATCCTTGGCAGACCAGACTGTCTACAAGCTTTAGCTTATGTAGATGTTTCCTAAAGTGACAGTGTCTCGTTATGAGTCATGTCACTCTCTTGAGCTAGATTTTGTTCGAGTTCAGTAAATCGTTTGCTTTTTCCTTCGAGCTCCTTAGAATGGCTATGTCCTGGCCTTGAAGTCCAGTATTTCCTGTGTTCTGTCTCAGCTCACATTGGCAGATGTGCCGTAGAAGGGCTCCAGGCCAATGAACTCTGTCTCGAATCCCTGCCTAGCAAGTTCATCCGCTTTCTCGTTCCCACAAATGCCTTTGTGCCCTGGCACCCAACACAGTCTAACTGTATTGTTGGCCAGTTCAGTCAGTATTTGTAAACAATCCCACACCAGTTTTGAACCTATCTTGTGTGCGCCTAATGCTTTAATTGCCAGCTTGACTATAAGAGAATATATATATGAGTTTACGTTTATAACCTCTACGTACATTCTCTGCCAGACACGCCACTATCGCGAAAATGTCTGCTTGAAATACGGTAGGGAACTTCCCCAGACTGTAGCTTGCATTCCATCTGGGTTTGAGTCCATTATATTCCTGCACCCGTCTCTCTGGTCATTTTG